AGCAGGTAGGTAGATGGGTGAGCACTTGTGAATCACATCATGCATGTAGGAAGCTGGAGAATGAAGGAGCACATGTATGAGGAAGGGGTGGGAAGTCAGATATATATTTAGAGGAGTGCCATGCAAGTATTTGGAGAACTGTGTTGCTTTGTGCAGCTACATCTCCCAGTGACCTACCAGCCCGCTACTGGCTGCCTCTTCTTCAGTTTGCAGGCAGCCTTTTTCAGCCCCAAACCCTCCAGTGGCCCCCAACAAGGATTATTTGCAGGCTGCCTGGCACGCCTGTGATCACACAGGAGAAGAAAGTAGGTTATTGAAGAAGGCAGAATGGAGAAGTGGGAAATTTTACTAACAACCAGCTTTTCACATGTGGCCCCCAGCACATACAAAATTATCCCTGGTTGAAAAATTGATGATTGTGAGTTACAGGGATTCTTAACAAAGCAGTCAAAAGGAGGTAAGGCAGCTGGTTGCTGGCAGCTGCAGGAGGCCAGGAGAGGAAGATCAAAGGCTTGAAAGCAGAAGGAAAATGAGTCCTTGACATTCATATAGATGTAGGAAAGAGTAGGATGTTCAAAATGACTAAGAGAGTGAGGAATATTCAGACCTATCTGGGTACAGAAACACCTATGATGTAGGCCTCTCATTTAGGAAACTATGGGGTTTCAGTTATGTAGATATGAATTCTGCCTAAAGTCTAAAGAGCAAAAATCAGGTGTTAAAACAGAAATATGCACATAGTTGTTCATGCTCACATGTATTCAAAAGACAGCACAAGAAAGTTAAAGAGGAGCACACTGCCTCCTAAAATAATGCATAGTTGTACTCCCTTACCAGCTTACTTTACAAATTTCTTAGCATCTAGAAGACAGTCACTAGTAAGCCCTGACTTTTAGATGATTGACTTCCTAAATCAAGTTGGTGGCTACACATGATAGGCTACGTGCATCTTCATAGCTCCGTGGAATTCACAACAGGAATTAATTTGACTCCAGATACTAATGTTGGTATGTTTTAGAATGATCAGAAGTCTGAATCTCCTTCCTCCTTCTCTACAGATGCCTACACGAAGACAGAGGTAATCTATACTTGGACGCTGGGGAAAGATAAGTCAGTAGAAGTGGCAAAAGGTGGATCTCGCCTCAATCAGTATGATCTTTTGGGCCATGTTGTTGGAACAGAGATGGTTCGATCTAGTACAGGTACTAGAGTGATTTGGTATCAGGAATGAACTTACAAGCTGATTGCACTAGAAGGTGTATTGGAAGTTAGTGTGCCTTACTTTCCATTCCTGTTAGAAGTCAAAGGAATTCATGCACATAACTACTAGTTGTGCCTTTGAATGTCTTCTTGGAGTTCATTTAATTTTGGTCATCTTTTAGTCTTTCAGAAGAACATCATGGAGTTTAAGGCAGAGAATGTGCATATGTTGCTCATTGATTTTATCTCTTGGACAAATATTATGAGTTACAGAAGAGTGTCTAGGACAGCGGACTGTCCTGAGGCTGACCTCTGTGTCAGCCCACCCACTTATAAATAATTAAGTTGTTCATTAGGCAGGAGGCTGCCCTTCATGCACCCAGCTATACCAGGAGGTGTACACACACTCTGACTTCCCCTACATATGCCCTATGCCTCACAGGTCTTACTACTGCCATCTACTCTATAGGCCCTTGGCACTGAGCCCTCTGGCTCCTGTCTCTTTGCAGCATGCAGGCACTCTGTTCTGCAGTGACTGGCTTTCTGTGCCTCTCTGCTGGGCACCTGGTTCCATACCCCCTTAGAGGCACCCCTCTGGCACTATGGGCTCGCCCCAACCCCTAGGCTACAACCTAAATACTAACAATAACAACAGTAAATTTCCATTCAGTGTAACATGCCACTATTCTTAGTACCTGGGAGACTCCCTGTAGCCATGTATGACCTAGAGAACTGAGCTGGCAGCACCACATCGCAAGTACCTTCAACAGGCAGTAACTCCTTTCCTATCAATTGCCAGAGAGAGTGCATGTCTGCTAAGTACAGCTTGGGCTTATATATCGCAGAACCCTGCCTCCTGCCCGACAGGTGATGTTGGCAGGTCTGGCCAATTACTTCCATAGGCTGTTACCCTGGCAACCTGCAGCTAGGGAGCTCTGCTTAGCCTGCAGAGCTCCCTGGCCAGGCTTCTTCAGTCTTAAGGAGCAGGCATCTCTTAGTGCCCTGCAACAGTGTCCCAAGCAAATATTTTCTATGATTAATGACCAATATTAATCTCCTCTCTCTTCCCATCTGCTGCTTCTCCCTTTCCTTGTGATTCAGGTGCATACAGCTGCTGTAACCTCATGTGTGTGTCCTCTTTTTTTCTCTTCTGTGTATGTTATTCGAATCTCTGTTGAGGATACGTCCCCTTTACGAAAAACCTCTCTTTCATAAGTCACGTCATCTCCCTTGAGGAAAGGTGGGGAGTCCAAGAATAAATATTATATTTCATCCACATTATAGCAAAAAAACCTGAAACAGTAATAGACTGAAAGCTGAAATGGAAAGAGATCCATAAAACTACTGATGCATAATGACTTATTAGTGTAAAAATCATGACAAAAGGACGTTGTCTTCTAAATGCAGTGTATCAGACTGAAGACCTTAGTAGCAGAGGGAGGGGAATGAAAATAAAGATGGCAAATAGAGAGAATCTACTGGTTTACTGTGGAAACCTTTCACTGCCAGGAACCTGTCCCAACTCTGAACAGAGATTATGTGAGGGGGCTTAAATATTGGAAAAGCATTTGTCATAGGCTCAGTGACCGAAGCTTTGGCAAATATTGAAGGTACCAGGATCCCACTGTGACAAAGTAGAAGTATTACAGTCCATAAAAAGTCGGCAGAGCCCTACCCATCACACATCTGCTTGAGGCAGAGTAAGAAATGGAGGGGTAGCTGAATCAAAAAACCCGTCCCAACAGGAAAGGTGCCTCTTCTCCCTAGGGGCAGAGAGGCAGAGAAAGCCTCCAAGGACTGTTTCCTAGTGATGTTCAGATGATTTGGTTTTTTGGGTTTTTTTGTGACTCTTTTGAAGGTAATAGAGAAAGTCCTACGGAAATGCTTTAAAATTTCAAATGCATGTAAATTTCTTCCCCTTCCCTGTTGATAAAAGTGCTCATCAGCCTACACCTACCCACCTGCAAAACAAACCTCATGTTTTCACAGAAGCTTTGCATATAAAAGTGACACCCAGAAGGTTAGCACCAATTTCATGTTGCAGGAAATATACGCTGGTTTCATGCTGTTATTGTGCAATCTTCCTGATGACAAAACATCAGGATCTGTCAGCCAATTGCTTTATGATAGTATATTTGCAGAACTTGGAAATTTACTGAAATCATGTCTTCTGTGGATGAAGTTTAATGCTCTATAATCTGGACTGAAGTTTTGTTGGTCCATACATGGCAGATAAAGATTGTTCTGCTGCTTTCTGCTCTAACCTGCTCTTTCTCCAGGAGAGTACGTCGTCATGACCACACATTTTCACCTCAAGCGGAAGATTGGGTACTTTGTGATACAGACATACCTGCCCTGCATTATGACTGTCATCCTATCACAGGTCTCCTTCTGGCTTAACAGAGAGTCTGTCCCTGCCCGAACTGTTTTTGGTGAGTTTTTGACATGCAGCCTTTTGATGGGAAAGGGATTTTAAATGAAGAACAAGTGTGGCCTCTTCAGGAACCAGAGTGCTGATGTGGTGGCACCATAACTACCTTTCTGTATTTGCTGATCTTATTGTCATAGTACTCCTTAGTCTGGGATTTGAATGCCTCTTTGGTGAGCATGGTATACTTCAGCCTCACCCATATGCACAGTAAATAGTCCTGGGAATCACTGTAAAGTGTTTACTGTCTCTCCTCCTGGTAGATGGCTTGTATTCATGTGAACCTTTGCTTTCTTGTGAAGTACCTCAGCTCCAGAGGTACAGAAATAGGCATATGCAGTATGTGCTGCCACACCTCATTCAGTTTTCAAAAAGTAACATTCCTTATGCATATTTTGTACTTTTAAAGGCCTCTAATTAATATGTAGCTGGAGAAAAAGTAATGTTAGCCAAAATCTTGATCTCTGATGCAGTTAGCACTGGGTTGCATGGACAGAGCTGAATTGCAAACTATGTTAAAGTCCCAAAATCTGAAATTATGCTGGGGATCATGAAGTAAAATAGGATATAGACCCAGGTATCAGAACTTTTCTTCTCCAGGTCATAGTGGTCCATCAGTGAAGTCCTCAGCTTTTGCCAGCTTGAAACCCACTCTTCTGGGGAAGGCTGTTGAGAATCATGTGGCAACATAGCACGATTAGCATCTACCTTCCTTTTATCTCTGTCAGTCAGGTTTGAGGCATAGTACACCAGGGAGACAGTTTTGATCTTGGAGACAGACAATGTCCTTTGGACCTTGGGCCAGGTTCACATGCCTGTGGTATTGCTATCATTCCTCTAATTAGGAAATGTTCTTCATCTATCAATAAGCCTTGGCAGGGATGAATGTTGTGGTTTTATAGTAATTTCATTTTCCAGCAACTCCTCCCATAAATAAAATATTCTGCTGCTGCTGCTATTTAAATGACATTATGCTGGCTTGGTAGGAAGTATATTTTTCATGAAATAGGTTTAATTTACATTGTAAAGTCCTTTGGGCAGGGATCAGTTCTTAGTACAGCACTAAATCTGCCATTAGTACTGGAAGGACATTCTCCATTAAAATTAGTGATCCTACCACAATCAGTGTTTTTGGTACCAAAGCACATCCTGCTTACTAGCAGTAATCTTAATACATTAATAGTCTAATTATATAAAACTAGCTTAATCTACTTTATGTATTATCATATTGACATGCTCACCTTGGGAAGACTAGGTATATGGAGAGGGACACCAGTTCGCAGTTGCTACCTCCTTCCTCCTGCCCCCAGATTAGATCTGTTTATACAGTGAACAAATTCCTGGAGTGCATCCATTGGCTTTCATTCTAAATAGTTTTTAATTATTTGATTTCTTTGTGAAGAAAATTTTCAATTCACCTATGGAGACAGCATGTAGACCTGGCATCACAGGTATGTTAACATGCCTTAAAATGAATTTGTCTCCTACTTATCTACCCAGACCATGAGACCAAGATCTCCTCATGCCTTCTGAATTAGGTGCTGGTATCTAGGAGGCTACATAAAAGCGGGACAAATAACATTGTGCTAAGTGTGGGAAAGGCAGTAACGCAGGGGAGGCAAAATACAGCCTGTGGTCCAAATCCAGCCTACCAGGCAGTTTCATCCAGCTCACAGGTGCTCACCAAATAATTGTACCCCGCTCAGCCCGTACTCTTTGCTCCCACCTTCCTGCATGTGAGGGCCCTATCCCCAGCCATCATGCACAGCTTCTGGGTAGAGCCACTTCTGCCACTGCTGCAGCCACCAAGGGATTTGCTTGGTTTCCCCAGCCTCCAATGGCTCCTCCTTGCGTTCCTGGTGCAGTTCTCACTCTGGGCAGCATGTAGGGAAGCTGCAGCTGGGTGGGAGTGCAGAACATATGGCTGGGGCTGACAGGAGCATGGAGCCCAGGGCCTGCACCCAGCAGGGCATTGGGAGCACACAGCTTGGATGGGCAGGCTGTGGGCATGTGAGGGAGGGTGGGGAGGGTGGGAACCCCCCCACACACACATACCGCCCCCATGGCCAGTTCCGGGAGCTGCACATGGTGGCAAAGAGCAGAGCCAGGCAACCCACCTCTATCATGCGGGCCTCAAGTGCAGCTCCCAGGATTTACATGCCACCAGGGGGAAGCCTTGTGTGATGTAGCTGGCTCCCTTCCGTACTCCCTGCTACCACATGCAGCTCCTGGGACTGCTTCCAGGTAGAGTCCCGTGAACTGCATGTGGCGGCAGGGAGCGGAACCAAGCTGCCAGGTCCATCTTGTGGGGCTTCCCTGCAGTGCTGTGTGAGTCCCAGGAGCTACATGTGAGCCCCGCATGATAGAGGTGGGCTGGCCCTGCCTTGTCACCATGTGCAACTCCCAGAACTAGCTGGAGCCACACACCACCCAGTGACTGCTCAGTGTAAGCCACAAGCACCCCCAGGGCCTGCTGCTGCTGCCACAGCCTCCAGCAGTGGGGGCTGTGCACCATAGGGGGGCATGTGGGGAAGCCCCCACAGCCCCCCACCCTCCCTCACACCCATAAAACTCAAACACACCCACACCCTGCCCACTCCTTCCCACAACCCTCCCACACACAGCCACACCCTTTCACTAGCCTCACACACACACACAAACATACACATCCCACACCCCACCATACCCCATGCACAATATAAGAGTAAGACTTTATTTTTGAGCTATTATGCAATCACCTCTATTTACACCATGCAAACACATATAAATCAGTCCAAAAATATTTTTTGAAATAAAATTAAAATATGTTATATGATTGACTTAGTATATGACTTGTTTTTTCCCAGTTCCAAGATGGCAACTCCCCTCCAAAGGAGTACTACTGGGGGGAAGGGCAGGAATTTCTGGTAAAAAAGGTCGGGGATTAGGGGTGGGACTTCCAGTCCCAACATGGCGACCAGGGGGTGGGGCACCTGTTAAGAGGCAGAGCTACCCTTGTGGCCCTCCATAGCTCACCACAACTCATTAAGCAGCCCTCCAGCCAAAATAATTGCCCAGCCCTGCAATAACTACTGAAGGAAGAATGCAGTAGACTACAAGAGAAATGGGAAGTAAGAATATCTGTTTGACTTTCCTTTACTGCTTGCCTGAGCAACTGGTGCCTCTTGCAAGGGATAATGGGATAGAGTTTTTCACTTTCAGGTAGGGGTGCACCGATAGAGATCTTGGGGGGTCGATACCAATAGCCGATATTTAAGGAGTCATATCGGCCAATACTGATCCGATATCTGATACAGCTGCCATCAGCTGGTAAGTCCATTATGGTGGAAAGGGAGGGGGTGGGAAGGGGCATGGGGGTGCAGATGAACACCCTCCATGGTGAGGGAGGGGGCAGGTGTAGGTGCAGGGGCAGATGCTGCCCAGCTGGGGCAGCAGAGGGGCACAGGACAGGGGCCCAGCTTGTGGTGTGGAGGTGGCTCCCACCACTGCTTGCACCCTGGGAGGGTGGGGTGGGTACCCCCAGACGTGTGCGGTGCATAGCAGGCTGCAGCTGCGGGCTGGAGCTGGTGCTGCACAGGGCTTTTCCTGGCAGGGGTTTGGCTTGGAGTGGGCTCTGGTGGTGCTGGGAGGGGCTGCAGCCACCCCAAATTTTGCTCTGCTCCCAGCCCCGCGCTGCTGCCTGCTGCCCAGCGCAGCCATGGCTTTTCCTGGCACTTGGGTGGAGGAGGGGTGTTCAGTCTGGGCTGTGCTGGGTGGCAGGTGGCGATACAGGGCTGGGAGTGTAGCTACAGCAAAATTTGGGGTGTCTGCAGCCCCTCTGGAACCCATTCCAAGCCAAGCCCCTGCCGAGAAAAGCCCCACACAGTCACACATTCCTTTTTTATACAGTCACGCATACGAACCCATTTATTCACATACATACAAAAACAGACAGACAATCCTGCAAATATTAAGATATTACCAGACCTTAATATGCTCGGGTTAGCTTGGTGACCAGCCAAGTTAACCACAAGAATGAAGCCAGGTCTTGTCGAATGCATACCGATGTTGCTTCTTCTTTTGTGCAGGACAGACCCAAAGCCTCTTTGTTCTTGTCCATCTTTATAATGATTGTTCCCCATACAAGTCTATGACCTCAGACTAGAGTCTGTCAATCATAATATTGCAACAGAAGAGGATAATATTGTCATCGAGGGGATGTGACACAGCAAGACCTATGGCTCCTCTTCTGTTGCAATATAATGATTGACAGACTTCAGGCTTTGTGGTCTGCAATTTCTTCCATCTGTTGTCAGCAATTTCTTCAGCTATTGGAATAAAATATGATCTTGTATTTTGTAAGTTTTAACTGCTGATCTTGGACATTGTTGTAACCTTTGGCTGTTAAAGCACAGAAGGCTATTTTTATCCTTCTAGTCTGAGGTGCAAGACTAAGGGCATGTGTAGATGAAATAGGGGCCCTAAATTGAAGCGGTGGGTTTCAAAAAACACCGCTTCAGTCTATCTCCTGCTCACCATCCCTGATGGCATGCAGTCTCTGGACTGTGGCCTGGAGCGCCTCCAGCTGGCATGCCAGAGACCCCAAAAGGGAGCAGACCCCACAAGG